GTCGGTGGCCGGGTGGAGAAGGCCGGTGGGAAGGAAAAGGGGGAAGTTGCGCAGCAGCCTTCACCACCCTTCACCTCCACTAACGTGAACCCTTTCCTCCCCTCCCCCGCCTCCTCCTCCCTAGGTTCGGTGAAGGGGCTGACCACGCAGCAGCTGGAGGAGCTGGACTGCCACGTCATCCTGGGCAACACCTACCACTTGCAGAACCGACCTGGCAGTGAGCTGGTGGCGGAGATGGGGGGCCTGCACGACTTCATTAACTGGCCCAGGTTAGCCAGGTTAGGGGGGAGGGGGGAAGGGGGGAAAGAGTGGGTATTACAGAAGCTATGTTCCGCGTGCTGCGGCTGCTGCTACTGGTCTACTGCTGGTGATGGCGGTGGCGGTGGTAGGATGAGGATTGGTGGGTTATTGGTCGGTACCGTATCGGGTGCCGGGTAACTGAGCGGGAGGGGGTTTGCAAAGATGGGGGAGATGGGGGGAAGGAGGGGCCGTCTGCACGTCGTGCGCTGCACGTCAACGTACGGCGCAGGGCGTTTTAGGGCAATAAGGCCCTAAATACCGTCTTACGCATGAGGAGGTCGCTTTCTCATCTCTTTCCTTCCCTCCCTCCCCTCCCTCCCCTGCCGTACTTCCGCATGTACATGCATGTACTCGTTCGTGGTTCGTCTTTCCCCTCCCCTCCGGCCCTCTGGACGACCGCTACGCCGCCCCGTCCAGGAGTGTGCTTCGGCCGTCAGCGGGCAGTTGACTCCCTCGCTTCCTCACCCCGTGGTTATGCAGTGCTGCTCCTCACCGGCCTCCCCCCCTCCCCACCCCGCTCCTCCCACCCTTATACACGTACCCCTACATCCCCATGCAGGGGTATGCTCACCGACAGCGGTGGCTTCCAGATGGTGTCCCTGCTGCACCTGGCGGAGATCACGGAGCAGGGGGTGACCTTCCAGAGCCCCGTGGACGGCAGCACCCTGCTGCTCACCCCGGAGGAGTCCATCGCCATTCAGAACCGGCTGGGGGCGGACATCATCATGGCGCTGGACGACGTGGTGCCCACAACAGCCAAGTGAGGGGGGGGAGGGAAGGTGGGGACGTGGGAAAGGGAAGTGAAGGGGGGGAGGGGGAGGGAAAAGACGAACCACGAGCGAATGAAGCTGCTGCCAAGGAAAGAGTGCTGCGGCAGGGGTCGGGTGGGAGGGAAGGTGGGGACCGACCCGTAC